CTGCACCATTGCTGTGCATCTTCTCAAGAGCTTTCTGTTGAACCATCCACCAAATGAGCTCTCAGCCAGACGGGTCCTCTGCAAAGCAGAAATCAATAACTGGTTGCATAGTACCTAGCCCGGAGTGGTGCTGAGCCTTCCCTGTGGCCCCAAGACAAATAACTCTTCCCTACTCCCGCACCATGTGACATGCCATCACAAGAGAGCAGCTCCTAACCGGTTACCCGCTCTGCAGTCCCCATGCAGGAGACTACTACTCTTCCTAAGCCTCATTACTGAAGTTCAGCTGCAGTCTAGGAGGAGGGAAATCCAGCTGTGGCAGTGGGATGATAGAGAAGGAACACACAAGACTGATCTTCCAAAGGGATGGCTATGGGGAAGGGACACAAGCAGGAAATTACACAGTGATTTTACAGCCCACGTAACACACCCGGCACTGTAGGATATGCTGTGACACTCTACCTAGCATGTGTAGGCTCTTGGCCCAGTTATCACTAAAAAACAGGCACAATGTGTGAGTCCCGTAAATCGGGAACATTAGAATCTCTGGCCCCACGAACGTCACACAGATAGAGACTTGTTCCTCAACTCACGCGCTTACTAAGGGCATTCTTTCAGCCTGACTCTCACCATTGTCTCAGGCCTGCGATGGTGCAGCCGAGGCATCTACCTCATGAGACCACCAATCCACCGAAGGGGATGAGTTCAAGATTGTGCGAAAGGGCGCATCGAGCGGGGCCCAGCAGATGGAAGCTCCCACATGGCTGACAGAGGTACAGCACTGTTTCCAGGTAACACCATGTCACACAAGAGAGCAGAGATGCACAAGGAAGAGGGGACAAGGCTAAAGAGGAGGCATCTTTAGGGGGAATTTAGAAGCTCCAGTCTTGCTGCACAGAGCATTGGAATTTTGAAACTGCAACCTGGAAATAGTCAAGTCCGTTTGATTGGACTGTTGGACAGAGAATCTCAGAGTGGAGAGGGAAGAATGAGGGACAGAAAGAGAAGCTAGACTTGTGGTAGAAAAAGGGGACAAAGGTGTGGCGATACCAGGGACTGAGATCGTGAACTTAGATCCTGAAACAAGCCGGGGATCTATAGTGATTTCTCATGACATTTGTGTGTCTTACTTTTGGGGACTGGCAAGAAAAATGTCAGGTTCTCCACTCACTTTTTCCTCAGTTACAAGAGTACAATGCCACCGTAACCACCACTGGAATAAAGTAGGCATCAGTGGCAGGAGAGCCAGGTCTGGTGTGTTTTGCACTAATGCATAACAAACAGTTGCCACCAAGAAACGATCAGGACGATTCTTAGTGCTAACCCTGTTTCAGAAAATGTGGCACTAAGACAGGGAGATTAGGGCCAAGCCTCAAGCTCTTGACAGGAGAATGAGACGGGAATGACGAAGGAGGTGAAGGTGACATTATAGCGTTGACAGGGCTCTTAAACCAGCGAATGGAATATCAATCTGGATCTACAGAGCTGAAGGAAGTAATGACCGAGCACGTTTTCACAGCAGAAAATGAAGAGATATGCACAGGGATATGCATTTGCGCAGAATGGATCTGGCAGGAGGCTCCTGAATAAGACACACCCACGGAAAAGAAGGAGACTAGAAAGACGGGCAAGTGGACCATGGCAGTGGTGGACCGATAGCCACTGCCAATCAAAATAAAGGGACAATAAAGGGAGACAGGACTAAAGCTGAGTGAGCAAGGTGCCTGATCTGAGACGGATACAGCAGAACTGAGGTTAAAGAGAGCACGTGCACTACAATTAGCCTTGGCGGAATTCAATTACTAAATGTTAATAATGCAAGCGGATAATACTGATGTTTATTTTAAAGCATTTTCCCTGATTTCATCTATTTGCATTTTCACTTTTGTGGAAAATTATGGGTTTTAAGCATTTTTTTAATATGAATCCAACTGAATTTTTACTGTTGCAGAAAATTGTTAGGGTCAAGCAGAGGGTTACGACAGTAGGTGCTCAGACTCAAACAATTAAAATTGTATAACCATTAATACACTGACTGTCAATTTCATGTGTCAAAATGTAATATGTAAATATTCTTACCTCCAACTCTAATAAGTTCTCAAGAAGACTTTGCTTACTTTGCCTATTTGAAAATGTCGATTATTATTGATGGAAACATTTTTCTTCAGGTTGTGTGGGGGGTGAAATTCTCCTACTTCCTGATAAAAATCCAATCCCTCCAAGCCTATCAAAGGGGAGAGGTGATCATCGGACAACAGATCAGTAGTAGGACAACAGCCAATCCCAGACTGCTGACTGTCAAGGGGCTGTTTTGGCTGAGATAGATAAACCCTTTAAAAAAAGATGCGTAAAAAGAGACCAGCAGAGCCAATGAGGGAGAGAGATTCTGCTGTGTGGAGTCATTTTTCCCCCCTTTCTTTTCAGAAAAGTGGTGAATGCAGCAGCCACTTGGGAGTTACGGGGAAGGGCACGGCTTAGAGAGGAAACACAATTTACACAAATAAAGTTAAACCACATTGCTAAGTCTTGTTCAAAAAGGGCAGAAGGGGGATATCACTTCCAAATGCACAGAAATGAAGCTGCAGTCAATGCGCATCTTTTATAAGCAGACTGTCTAATAATGAACTTATGGACAGGAAGGAAGAGACCCTTCTGAAAAGGTCCATGTCTGTACAGTGGAAACCTCAGGCAAGGAAGGATACCAAATATACAATTACTGGCTTGTGCATTACTCCTCTATGCTTTTATTTCACCCTTGCAAATAAAATATTGATGCTGCTGCTGCTGCTGCTGCCGCCGCCGCCTTAATGCTTGATGTACAATGAAATATTCAGAGGAAGAAAAGAATCAGGAAACCAGTAATGTAGGATTGATCTAACAGGACCGGCACAATCTGTGAGGGCCTGAGGAAACAGCTTATGCCCGAGGCTACAAAAACCCTAGTGCCATTACTGCTTTCTTCCCAGTAAAATCCAGGCATCAAAAGTTAAGCGTGACACTACGGAGGGTTCTGCCCAGCTGGAATCATGTTCATTTCAGGCATGGTGTTGTATATTGGCACCATTTGTAACAAGAGGTCACATCCTTCTCCAGAGGTGTTAACTCCCAAGGTGGTTTTGCAGTCCCCATTTGTACAGATACTTTAAACAACAGAAGAGAAATGGCGGAATATCCACCGCCACAGGTAGGTAGCACAATTAGGGTTGCACAATCAGGATTTAATATTGCGGGGATGGGAATCTCTCCGTGTTGTCCTGCCAGACTTGGGAGGATGCTACAGGTGGTGACCACGCCGGAGCCCTTTTCTGATCGTCTCATTTTACAAAGCCATTTTCATCCTGGAGCAAAACCGACGGAGCTGTCCAAGGTAGGAAGCTCTTCCTGCCTTCAGGAACCCGAGAGACTTAGCATGCAAGGGAAAACGCTTTTGCAAGCTATCTGGATGTCAGAACAAGTCAACCTCTATACTCTTTGAAGGGATTCACCACTCCTGCACTGGATGGAGGGAAAAGCTCAGACTGTGTAGTGGGAGGTAGGGGCGAGAGACAGGTCATTTCTGGCCGCAAACTCCCTTCCACGGCAAAATCAAACCCTCCCAAAATCAGCAAGGGATGGAAAGTTGTGTAAATGGCAACAGGAGAAAGCAAATTAAAAGGATGTTTCTGGGGTGGGAGTGCCCGTTACAAGACCGCATCTACTCTTTAATCCAATGGATTAACAGCAAACAATTATATTAAGTGAAAATAATGAAGAGTGGGTGTGATGGGACAGAAACCCACACTCCCCATTTTCTTTTTCTAAATGTAAGATATATAAACATGTGTATGCAAACCAAGGGACTCAACCCAACCTTCTTGATTACCCAGAGCACTGTAGTTACCCATCTCTCATTAGAGATTCAAAATCTTTTACGCCCTCTCCACAGGGTCTGTCTTAGGCAACACAAAGTGAAGTCCATGGGAGTTTTGCCTGAAGAAAGACTGAATGAGAAGCAATGGTTTGTTTCTTCTTTCACGTCAGCTTTACATGGAAACAACTCTGGACTTTGGTGCAATTCCTTCTGGCTCCCACTGGTGTACATGAGAGGTGAATCAGACACTCAGGGCGAGTTCTGTCCTTCGTTTATACCACTATTTGTATGTGGTGGATTTGTGTCTGCAAAATCAGGAGCAGAAGAACCTGGCACCAAAGACAGCCCTTGGGATTTGGCCCACAGTTTGTTACTGAAGGCAAGCTATCACAATAACTTACCTAGAGGAGAAAGAGACCAGCTTGTGAGGCTTGCTAGAGCCAACGATCATTTTTCCTGGAGAAAGCTCAACAAGAAATGTGCTAAGATTTCGCCCAGCTATGGGTGCTGCATTTGGGTTAGCATGACTCCATTGCTACCCAAGTCTCATCATCTTTCCTTCCCAGAGCCCTGGACAGCTCAGGTGATGTCAGGCAAAGTGTCAGGCACTCATTCTAGGTAACAAGTTCACTCATGCTTGTACTATTCGAAGCATCCAGGTGTGTCTTAAGTGTGTATTCTGTAGTAGTATTCTGTATTCCACAACAACTATGACATTGCTTTTACCTAGGTTAATGTGGTTTAACAGACTACACGGCTACATCACTGCCCACTTTTCCTGCTAGCATGAGGCCTGATCACTCACCAGCTGACGGCGCTAGCGGTTAACTGCAGGAAAAAGGTTTTTTTTTAATTTCCTAACTTTTTCAGAAACTATATTCTTGATAATTAATGCAAGTGTAAAAAAAAAACAACCCTAAACAAGTAACACCCCTCCAACAATAAAAACCAAGCAAACAACCCTTCCCAGGTAATGAACACTGGAATACACTGCGCTCCAAAGGCATCTCATTCTGCCACATAATGTTCTTATCCCAGGGAATAAGGTCTGGCACAACCCGAGGCTTGGGGAAAAAGAAGGGGGAATACATTTCAGACTAATTACAAGTAACCCTAAAAGTTCTAGATAAGAAAAACAGTTTATAATTACCTCTGTTGAGTGAGGCTGAGCTGTTTATATCTCCGGTAATAAAGGAAGACTCGGACTGCTTTCGAACGGTGTCATTCCACATTCTCCGGATCCGGCTCTGAAGAGGGAGTGAACCACAGCAAGTAATGAATTTTTAGCAGCTGCAGATAGATTTCTTTCAGCCTCACTAAAGATGCCTCACTTGCACACCTAGAAGATGAGACTTCTTCCTATCCAGTTGTACGTAAACAATTTCTGATTGGTTAGAACCTGTCTACTGCATAACACACACTTCCTGCCTGGCTTGAGAACATGAATTTGTATCTCCAATAAGAAAGTGCATCACAGGATACCATGTCGTTTCTAAATTAATTAATAAACAAGCAAAACAGACCATGCACAAAATAACCTCCCCACAAGATATTGTTCTAGCTGTGCTGAATGATGGAAACTAACTCACAGAAAATAGCATGAATGCATCTAAAAATCCCTTGTTGTATATTGATTTATATCTTTTTTTTTAAATATACTGGAATCATTGTTTTATGTTTTGGCATCTGTGGATGTGCTCAAGTTTTCTAGAGACTTATTATCCACTGTGGGGAATGCAACAAAAAATACAACCACAAACAAGGGAGGTTATATTCCCCCAATGAAAAGCATGTGACAATTTTGACATTTACGACACAGCATTTTATTAAAGAGGTCTTGTTGTGATAGCCAAGATTTAGTGGCTTCTCTTTAGTCTTCCAGATGGGTCATGGGGCATTTTTTTACCTTCGTCACACCTCCCCCTGAAACTTGTGCTTCGGAAAATCTACTGACACATTTCTAATGCACTACACAGCTACAACCAGACCCAGTTTTTCAGAGCAACTCATCTCCTCGTGAAGCCTGTTTTCCCTTGAACATTTGGCCTTTTCTTTTAGGTGCCTAAAGATGGACGCTGGTTGCCTTTGGAAAACCCAGTCACTAAATGGGAGGCATTAGGTGCCGAGGTGTTTTGAAAATCTGGCTCCTGATTGCTGGCTGCTTTTCTCCTCATTCCTCTGGAGGAAGAGGCTGGAGGAGAGACATTCCTCAACTGCATTTCTGCAAGTCAGGAGGAGACCAGGTGGCCAAGTGAACTCGCTGCAGGGCTGTACACCTGGGACGACCGTGCACAGTAGGATGGGAACAGGTAGCCAGTTAACCGGTAAGTATCACCCTTACCAAGTGATCCTTACTGGGTACTGGTTAACCGGTGCCTGGGAGCAGCCACAACCCCAATACTGCCCATTGCAGTCTGGTAAACGTGGACAGCGGCAGCAGAGCAGGTTCAGAGAATAGCCCCACCTGGACAGTTTGGTAGATGATAAGCCTTGCCCAAAGAGGACAGTGTTATTCCACTCGTTTTGGGGGCGTTACGCCAGTGTCACCCTGGGGTAGCTGGCAGTGAGCGAATGAGGTCCGAGATGCACTCTGCAGTGTGACCTCATCTGTTGTGTGTGTCAAAGCGTCAGTGCTCCTCAGCGCATGAGACGATACCGCTGCATCATGGACTCTGAGCACGCCTGGAGAGCTCCCTGAGTAATATGCATTAGCCCCTAGACCGGCAGTGAATGGAAAGCAGATGCTTCCATTACCAACCTCAATCTCAAACACAATCCTACACAATCAAAGGTCTTGCTCCGGTGCAACGGATGAAAGGCAACACCCCCCTTTCCCAAGGCAGAACTGTGCCCATGGGGACCACAGAGCGCTGAAGTCCGCCTAACATCCCAGGTGTGACACTGCAGGTCAACAATTCCACCGCATGGGGGACATCATCCACATACCTCCAAGGACAGCGAGGAACCTAGGGACGAGCTTAAAAAACAACCAATGGTCTGGTAGCACTTTAAAGACGAACAAAACATGTAGCTGGTATCATGAGCTTTCATGGGCACAGCCCACTTCTTCAGATGACCGGAGTGTTGGATGGCCAGAACTAAAATACTAAAATACTGTCAGTACTCAGCCTGTCTAATTGCCTACTAATGGTTCTTATCCGCCTCTTTTGACTATCCAGGCTTTAGGTGCTTATAGACTATGTGTTTTTCCTGTTTCATTCCAGCTCAGCTTTCCCATGGATATTTTTATACTCACTGCCTCTTCTTGTTTCCTCCCTCCCATTTTTTTCCTTCTCCCCTATTTATTTTAGTTCTGGACATCCAACGCTCTGGTCATCTGAAGAAGTGGGCTGTGCCCACGAAAGCTCATGATACTATCTACATGTTTTGTTAGTCTATAAAGTGCTAGCAGACCATTTGTTGTTTTTTAAGTCTATCCTGTACAGACTAACTCGGCTACCCCCTGAAGCAAGGGACGAGCATAAGGAAGAGACCCGCTCTGCCCTTAGCTCTGACACAGGCTAGATGGAACTTGTTCTGCACTATGGAAATGTGAAGCCTTTGACTTCTAAGGAATTTTAAAGGAGTTAGGCTTGTATCCGCCACCCTCAGGTTCCTTGAAAAGCCCTGCTGAAAACGCCACAAATAACCCATTTTAGTCACACTTTATATTAAGGCTCTGTTCATAAACAGTTTATCAAGGGTTAATGGGGCCCTAAGCAGGACACAGACTTGAGATTAGATGAAGGTTTCTAACCATTAGAGGAGTGAGGTTCTGGAACGGCCTTCCAAGGGAAGTTGTGGGGGCTAAAGATCTATCTGGCTTCAAGATTAAACTAGATGGGTTTATGAAGGGGATGGTTTGATGAGATAACATGATCTTGGTAACTAATTGACCATTCATTATCAGTTGGAAATAGGTCAATGGAGGGATGATAAGAGTTACTATAGAGAACTTTCTGGGTGTCTGGCTGGTGAGTCTTGCCCACATGCTCAGGGTTTAGCTGATCGCCATATTTGGGGTCGGGAAGGATAGATTGGCAGAGACCCTGGAGGTTTTTCGCCTTCCTCTGTAGCATGGGGCACAGATCACAGCTGGAGGATTTTCTGCATCTTGGGGTTTTCAAAGTATTTGAAGGCTTCAATATCTGAGATATAGGTGAGAGGATTATTCTAGGAGGGGGTGGGTGAGATTCTGTGGCCTGCACTGTGAAGGGGGTCAGACTAGATGATCATAATGGTCCCCTTCTGACCTTAAAGTCTATGAGTCTATGAGCAGAGTGTATTATAGTTATAAATATTTCAGTATAAGGTGCAATGGATGGCTACGAGGAGAGCTGGTCAGGGACTGTCCAACTAAACGTTTTTTCACTGGAAAATGCCAATTTGTGGGGAAGCCAGAAATGGTTTGCGAAACAGCGTCAGGTTTTTCTGAAACAACTGACTCACAATATCTTTGGTTAATCAAGCTGTGAGAGGTTGTTGAGCAGGAAAATGTCAATATTTTGAATCAGACTTCTTGTTCCTACATGCACACTAACAAAAGGATAAAAGAACGACCCTTGCAATGGAAAGAAAACATCATTTTGGAGTTATCAAAATGAAATTATTTGATTGACTGGAACTGATTTTTTTTAACAAGTTCATTTTTGGATTTTGAAAAACGTGTGAGACTTCAGACAGAAGAAAATGCAAAATCTCCCACTCAGCCCAACTTATGAGTCAGAGAATAAGTATCCGTTGGAGTCTATGTCCCTGGATTTACCCTGTATTAAATCATCTAGTCATCACTTACTAATCCTTTATATTATAAATACTTTTATGAATGGAAATTTCATGTCAAGAGTGACCCTATTAATATTCAATTATTCCTGTTGAAGAAGCTTGCTGAATTTCTTGGGCGTAGCTGTGCCTGATCATTAATGATGATGTTTTGGAGTATCTTTGTAGGGAAGATAGTTTATGTGGTTTATCTTCCCCTGCAGCTGGTATTTTGCTATACAAATATTGAAGGTTCCTAAACAAGCCCATGTCATTTCTCTGTAAAACACTCGGAGACAATGGGACACGAATGTTAAATATATGACTTTTGATACTTTCTCTAACCCAGGAGGCTCATTATCCACTTTCTGCAGTAATTTTAGTGATGAGTGTTGCAATGTTTCTCTGAAGTGCAGCATTGCCAGCCTCAGAGACCAGGGCCTTCTGCTGATACCGAAAACAAGCATAGTCTACAAAGCGGGCCATCCCTGACCACAGATATTACGTAATCCAGCCTGGGAATCCTGGCAGGCCAGGAAAGGATCTGTCCATTACTGGCCCCCCAACCCGACCCCTTCCTGCCGTTGCCCTGCCCTCTCTCTCCCATGGCACCTCGTCCCCCTGAGGATGTGGTTTCGGGGATCACTAAGTGGCATGGCACAGTGGCAGTGGTGGCAGGAGCATGGGGAAATGGAGTACACTGGGTAGACATCTGCACTCTGCTTCCCTGCCGCTCCTGACACCAAGGGGAGCGTGGCCACTACTCACGCTCCAGGCTCTCCCCAGCGATCTCCAAAGCCACGTTTTTGGAGGACAGGCAGGGGTGATGGCAGGAAGGGGCAGGGATTGGGGGCCAGTAATTGACAGCTTCTCCCTGGCCCACCAGGAGTGCTGGGACAGATTGCACCCCGCCCCCAAGATGGCCTGCAGGCCAGGATTTTGAGACCCCCTGGTGTAGTGGAATCTTCCAAGCACCAACCTGCTCAAGTGTCTCAGCCTTAGTGTGGAGGGACCGCTAGAGGGTTATGTCCAGACTGCACAATTCACCTGGGTGTCTGGCACTTAGGTCTGAGTTAGCCTAGCCTGGGTGCAGGAATGGAATTCATTAGAGCGCTTTTAAGGAAAGAGCCCAAGGTCCATCAGAACCAATAGCAATGATCTTTGAGAACTGCTGGAGAATGGGCGAGGTCTCAGAGGACCGGAGAAGGGCAAACATAGTATTGATCTTTAAAAAGGGCAGGAAAAAGAACTCCTGGGGGAATTCTGCACCACTGGGTCATGCAGAATTGCGCAGAAATTAATATAGTGCCCATAGAATTTCCCTTCCCCCACAGACATGGGCTGCAGCGTTGCTGGCCACCACTAGGCATTGATGGACCCAGCAGAGCCCAACTCACACATATAAGATACTGCTGGAGAGAAGGGAGAGGAAGCTGCAGGATTTTCATTTTTCTGCGGGGAAGCAAAGAAATCTGGAGGGGACATAAATTCTGCTGATGGGCAGGGGCACAGAAAGTTCCCAGGAGTAATAATAGAGCGTGATTTTATGAAGGTTAGATGCAATTAACATAAGGTGGGTGCACAGCTGGTTGAAAGACCATACTCCAAGGCCGTTACCAGTGATTTGCCATCAAACTTAGAGGGTGTATTGAGCAGAGGTGTTGACTTGCCTAATGGAGTGGAGAACAGACATAAGGAATCTGTGGATGAGATTAAATTGGGAGAGGTTGCTAGCACTTTGGAGGACATCATCAGAATTCAAACCAACCTTGATATACTGGAAAAATAGTCTAAAATCAACCTGATGATAGTTAGGATAACACTTCAGAAGGAAAAATCCAATAGACAACTGCAACATAGGATAAACTAGCTAAGTCAGTAATGCTGGAAAAGCTCTGCTAATGATATTGCATCACAAACTGAATGTGAGTCAGCAATGGGATGCAGTTGAGGAAACGGCAAGCAATCATTCTGGGATGTAGTATTGGGAGTGTTGTACATGTAAGACATACTAGGATAGGGGTAGTCAGCAGGCAGGCCACACACCCATCTGGACCACCAGACACTTGCGACCAAGCAGTAAAAACCTTCCTATTCCATCACCATCCATGCTGAGTGTGTGCAGTCCCTCGCAAATGTCGGACTACAACTCTTGAATGACACCTTGGAAAACTTAAAATAAATAACAATTTGCTTCCAATGCAACATACATCACTAATAATATTTTTCTGACAGGTTATAAACTGTTATTCACTACAGGTTTCTTTCATAATTTAATAGGTGAACTGGCAAATATAATTAGATCCTTCGGTAATACAGCATAAGTGTGTGTTCGGTTTCTCTCGATTACAGTCAGCTTCTTCATTTTATATGAACTGTTCTTCATAAATCAACCTCTTTACACAATTTAGGGAGTAACATGCCAAACACTCAAACAAAATAACTGAATTTTAGATGGAACGGAGCATAACGAAGTTTAGAAAATAAATAACAGTATTTGAATCTCAGCTGATTCTTTGCAGAGCTGCATAAACCAGGGAAACTGAATAAACCAAGAGAATGATTAAGACAACTAGTGGCAGAAAGTGTTAGAGCTCAGCGCCAAGCCTATATGAGATTACTAGCGGCTCTGGTTTTATTAATCAGCAAGAATGCTTTGTTGGGCTAGCACAGTAACCTCATCATATAAAACTCACATTCCTTAGTCTTGGGGAAGGAGACAATCTTTGTTTTCACTTCAGTTCATTTAAGACCTGCGTAAGGGCTGCAAACAGCAATTACAACCTAAGGTCACCAAACTATGCGCAGTTCAAAGCTGTCCTATCTGAAGGCATGGGGCTCAATCCTTTTCCTCCTGACATTGGCATAAGTCTGAAGTAGCGATGTGAATGGTTAAGTGGTTAACTAGTAAGCATCACTCTTACCAGGTGATGCTTGCTAGTTAGTGTTAATCGGCATGGGCCCTCTGCGGGCTTGGCCCAACGCACTACAGATGGGGCACGCCAGCCCTGCAGGGGCAGTCCACACCTGTGGTGTCCAGACCAGCTGGAGCACCCCCCTTTCAAGTGGTTAACCGTCCAAACAGAACGTTTAACTGTTCAACTGATTAAACAGGACTTTATATCCCTCGTCTGAAGCAGCACCTTTGGCTTCTGGTCAAACTGCTGCAATTTACCCTCCCATCAGGGTGTGGCCCACGACATTCAGAAGGCAAAGAATGAGACAAAACTGAAAATCTTTGTGCTCCTCAATTATCAAATCTGTTTCGAAATCAACTGATTGCCCCCACCACTTCTAAGAGCAACCCAAGCCTCCTCAACTGGCGGATTGTTGCAGCACAAAGTGAGGTTCCCATCTAAGAGGATTACTCATGTCTACACCCCCCTTCCCTCCGCCCCCCGCCCCGTGTATGGGACTACGTTAGCAGGAAGGTAAGAAAGATTCCATTCCATTCGGTTTACCTGCGAGCCTGTGGAGTAGCGTCCAGGTGTCCGCGATCCAGATGTTTTTCCTGAGCCAATGGAGCTCTCTGTACTTTTCCCACTACAGCAATGTGTACGCAGGCATTTTCCATATTCTTTACGTACCTAGCCAATTAAACAGTAATTTCCATTAGTGGGTAGCTCCCTCTCCAGCCTGAGACTTAAGATTTTGAACAGTTCCCCGCCCCCCGGGTGATTCATTAAAATGCAGCTGTTTCTGTGCTTTTAGAAGCATTCCATTACACCTTCCCACCGTGTTCTCCTAACACATCAGCTGTACATTTATGATGTCATAAGGGACTGCTTTTTTTCTGAGAAAGCAATTCACTGATATCAGTAGAATTTAGCTACCTCTGAGGCACATCAAAGAAGCAAGAGAGAAACTAAAGACATTCTATTTATGACCGAAAATTAATATCTTTGTAGATTTGATATGAACGGGCATATTGGCTCATCACAGCGCTACAAGTTATTGCTTCTGGCAGGGGACTAGGAAGAAAATTACAAAAAAATGAAACATATAAGAGGAATCGATTCCATATAAATATATATAAAAATTTCAAATGCTAGAAAATTGTGAAACTGACAGTCTTTGAAATGAAGTCTTCTGTGTGCAGACCAAGTGGGAATGGTGCAAGCGTCACCCTAAAGCCCCATCATATGACAGAAAACACTGAGAAGGAGTTAATGGGGTAATTTCTCCAGCACACTGCATGAGCGAGGCCCCCTGTTGGCAGAAATGAATATTGCTACCCTGACTTCAATGGAACGAAACTGACATCTCCCCACTATGCACTGCAGAAGTCTGGATCGTAAGTATAATTTAGCCTGCACGTGCATAGAGACCAGGGAGAGGCCAGAGTGAAAATGGGTCATCCGCTGAGCCGGTTGATCTCTGGCTGTGCCACAAATGTGAAGAAAGGCCACTTTACTTCTCCACAGGAAATGTAAATGCAGTAGGAAACCAGCAGAGGTTACTCTGTGAGCACTCTGTTCACTGCTATCTGATTAAATCTCTCGCGCTGGTCTTTCTATGGGCATTTCAGAAACCTATCTGCAAAACGATTGTTTAAATAGCAGATTACAGGGTGTTTTTTTTAATTAGGCCCTTCCATAAGACCTTGAGACAAACACAATACCATGAGTGCCCAATGTGCTCTCAAGTGCCTAATCAGTCCTTTGCTGAGAGAAAATAATTCAATTGCTTTAATTAGCCACCAACCGCTTCCCACTGCAGCTATGCACTGATTTTCTAGTCTCTGACAGACAAGAAATGTTTTTCCCCCTCTAAACAATCCCTCTCCTAACCTCTTGGATTGGGCAAACAGATTCCCAACACCAAGGGAGTGGATTCTCCTCTCTCCTACATTGGTGCAAATTGGTAGTAACTCTGCAGAGATCAACAGCAGCACACTGTTGTGAAACAACATGCAAGAGGAGAGATTCTGGCCAAAGGGTGTGAAAGAGGCCTCTTGGGCTGGAATGGCTGCAAGGCCATGAAGCGGCACTGGGCTAGAAAAGCAAGAGATCTGGGAGTTACAGCGACTGGGTGCACAGGAAACACAGAGGAAAAAGAAACTCAACTCCGTCACACAAGGAACCACTGTAAGTCTGACTGGAGTCCTTAGGGAGTCAGACAGCACAGGAGACTCAAAGTACTGAGAGCATAAATGGGTTTAATGGGGAAATAAGGTCCCTGTCTCCCCAGAACATACAAAAAGAACACAACAAAACACCAAAAGAGCACAACCCACATCTCAGTGAAATTAACACCTAATGGGACAGATCTGAAAATTGGCCTTTGGCTGCACCCACAGAGGCAGATCCACGGGGCGCTATGCATGGAGTAAGTGCTACTGAATGGGGGAAAGACACTCCAAAATAAGCAATGGAGCGCCAAGGCTCAGAAAACATCCCTAGAGAGAACTGCATGGAAAGCTGTTCCGGGGCAGGTCTACACTGCACACCAAGCCTGGTTTGGGGAATGGCTCCAAGGCCAAGTCCTGCTGAGACTCGGGTCCAAGTCCTGCCATTTTGAAGTGTGGATGCAGCTGAGTCAGAAGGTTTGGGTACCATAGTAGGGCTGTGGTAGAGCAGCTGTGAGAAACAGGCCGGGGCACTGGGGTAACCTTTAGCATGATGCTGCTGCTGGAAACCATGTATTTGGTGGTTGTTATTGCTACTTCCAGCTAGGGGCTGCGGCAGCACCCCCAGAATCCCTAATTCCAGCCCCACTGTATCTGGGTCCAGCAACTGTAACTCAGATTTATAATGCAGCATAGATACCGAGGAAACGTCAAGCCCCCAAACCCTGGTCCCACACACCCGGGTTTACAATGCCATATATACACCCAATAGGAAACACACAGAAGTTTAAATGCTTTCCCAAATAGAGGACAAAGAAAGGAGGAAAACAGCAGACCAATAATGGTTCCCTCCTGCCCAGTTGGTGGTGTATGTAGCCCAGTAAGGGCTCAGACAATTGCTAGAAATATAGAGCAGCAATCACACACAATGAAGTTTGCACTCTTAGATGCCCTCTCGTGGCCAGCCTGGGGAAGACAGACAGGCCTTTTGGTCTTGGGAGACTTTGGAGACGTACTGTGCTTGGAATGTAGTTGCATTGTTTGTCACTGTTAGCCAGCTCAGAGGGTCCTATGTACAGTAATGGAGCAAGTAATTAAGGAATTCATCTGCAAACATCTGGAAGAAAATAAGGTGATAGGTGCCATCCAGCATGGATTTGTAAGGAACAAATCATGCCAAACCAATCTGATAGCTTTCTTTGATAGGATATCAAGTGTTGTGGACAAGGGAGAAGTGGTAGATGTGGTATACCTAGTATTTAGTAAGGCATTTGATACAGTCTCGCATGAGAGGGCATCTAAGGTTAGATAGACATCTCTCAGGGATGGTGTAGACGGAGCGTGGTCCTGCCTTGAGGGCGGGGGGCTGGACTCGATGACCTCTCGAGGTCCCTTCCAGTCCTATTATTCTATGATTCTATGATATTCTTATCAATAAAATAGGGAAATACAACTTAGATAGGGCTATTATAAGGTGGGTGCATAACTGGCAGGATAACCATTCTCAGACAGTAGTTATTAATGGTTCACAATCATGCTGGAAGGGCATAACAAATGGATTCCACAGGGGTCTGTTTTGGGACCGGTTCTGTTCAATATCTTCATGAATGATTTAGATGATGGCATAGAGAATATGATTATTAAGTTTGCAGATGATACCAAACTGGGAGGGATTGCAACTGCTTTGGAGGCTACGTCAAAATTCAAAATGATCGGTACAAACTAGAGAAATGATCTGAGGTAAATAGGATTAAGTTTAATAAGGACAAATACAAAGTACTCCACTTAGGAAGGAACAATCCATTTCACACATACAGAAAGGGAAGCGACTGTCTAGGAAGGAGTCCTGCAGAAAAGGATCTAGGGGTCAAAGTGAACCACAAGCTAAATATGAGTCAACTGTGTGACACTGTTGCAAAAAAAAGCAAACATGATTCTGGAATGCATTAGCAGGAGTGTTGTGAGCAAGACACGATAAGTCATTCTTCCACTCTACTCTGCGCTGATTAGGCCTCAGTTGGAGTCTTGTGTCCAGTTCTGGGCACCACATTTCAAGAAAGATGTGGAAAACTTCGAGAAGGTCCAAAGAAGAGCAACAATAATGATTAAAGGCCTAGAAAGCATGAACTATGAGGGAAGAAGACTGAAAGAACTGGGCTTGTTTAGTTTAGAAAAGAAAAGACTGAAAGGGGACAAGACAGCGGTGTTCAAGTATCTAAAAGGGAGTTACAACGAGGAGGGAGAAATATTGTTCTCCTTGACCTCTGAAGACAGGATATAAGAAGCAATAGGCTTAAATTGCAGCAAGTGAGGTTTAGGTTGGACATTAGGAAAAACTTCCTGTCGGGGGGTTAAACACTGGAATAAATTGCCTTAGGGGGTTGTGGAATCTCCAACACTGGAGATATTTAAGAGCAGGTTGGACAGACATCTGTCAGGGTGATCTAGATAGTGCTTTGTCCTGGTGTGAGGACAGGGGACTGCACTTGATGACCTCTCGAGATCCCTTCCAGCTCTAGTGTTCTGTGATTCTAACACTGAAACTCATGCAGAAATCCAATGCAAATGCAGAGAATTGTTACAAGGGCATGATCCTGTCATCCCTGTTTGCTCTTTTGGACTGCAATAAGCAGGAGTCCTCTCCATTTTATGTGTAACATCCACAGATGGTAGACTGTACAAAGCCTAACATGGGACAGATTGATTCCTCTTACTCCCGCTGAGTACGTATGGCTTGAGGCCCAAGTCAATACGACTGCCTGTGGACTAAGGGTTAAGGTTACGGGATCACAGAGAGTCATTTACTAAATAGTCAATTGAACATTTCCACGTACACACTGTAATAACAAAGGTTGGGCTCTAAGTCCTAGAAGTTCTGTTATGTTCTCCACTTTTCAGTGAAAATGCCATTGGTTCATTTCAGCTAATTCCCAAATTTTTTTCTCCTCTAAACGCCACGGGATTTGGTCGATGCCAGTTATGTTTCTTTAAAACTTCATCTGAGGCCATATAGCTGTTTAAAAGTCACTAAGTAACTACACTACTCTGAGTCTGTGCTGGCAAAGCATTGAGGCATGTGCTTAACTTTAAGCACATGAGTAACTCCCATGAGTTCTTCAGATCCTATTTAAAATAAGGTATGTGCTGACATGTTTTGCTGAATTCGGTCATTATCAATAAAACAGTAACAACATATCATGTGACAAAGGCCAAACATCAATAAATGTTTGGTGTATGAATATATATTTACAGGTCTACTTAGTTTTTTACTTTCATGAAATGCTTGAAACCAATCTATACTGTGCAGTAATGCTGCAGTATGCTACAGGAGATATTAAATAGCAGCTCTAAACTTTTAGATCAAGATTTTCAAAACTAGTAGGCTAAAGTTAGCAATCCCCAGAACATTTAATGTTCCTTTGGCCACTGCAGATACTGTCAGTGCCTAGAGATGTTTCTAAGATCTGTGCTCTGTTCAGCTGACTTGTCTCTAAGATAGTCAGCATCTTCCTGTGTTTTATTATTATGCATGAATGTTGAAAAGTTTCAGACACAAATCTGGAATGTCACTAAAGCATTCAAGTCGGTTACGATGAGTGCTCGAGATGGAGAAGGAGGACAAGAAGCAATGGGCTTAAATAGCAGCAAGGGAGGTCTAGGTTGGCCATTAGGAAAAACTTCCTAACTGTCAAGGTGGTTCAGCACTTGAATAAATTGCTAAGGGAGATTGTGGAATCTCCATTAATGGAGATATTTAAGAGCAGGTTAGACAGACACCTGTCAGGGATGATCTATATGGTGTTTGGTCCTGCCATGAGGGGAGGGGAGTGGACTTGATGACCTTTTGAAGTCCCTTCCAGTTCTAGTGTTCTATGAGTCTATAAAATGACACGGAACAAAAATCTGACTCCCACATTTCTTTCTCCACTTGGGAAGCATGATGATTTAGTGCAGCTGGTCCTCAAACTGCTTCCAAACAGCTTGCTGGCCAAAGCTTTACTTGGGCTACCTACCAATTGCAATGCAATAAACTGAGGGCGTGTTCCTGCACCACGCCCGTGGCGGGAATACTCATTCACCTGAATGGTGCAAGGTCAAGCCCCAAATCCTGGTGCATTGAAGTCAATGGGAGTCTTTCCAGTGACTTTAATAGGCTTTGGGGGTGGCCCATAGGAGAACATGATCAAACTTTAGTAAGACCCCAGTCCTCCATTGTTATTGTCCAGCCATACTGGTCACAAAGCAGGGGTGGGCCCGAATTTACAAGTGCTTGCACATTCTTCTCTATTGTCAGTGGAAAGAGAACCTGGCCTCATTAGACAAGAAGTACATTTAACAGTGGTAGTAGAAATGTATTGTTAAGAGCTTTCGTGTCCCTTACTTTCCTTGGTGTACAAAATGGACCTAAATAAATGGCCCATGACTTTTTGGAACAAATAGTTCATGTATCTTGCAGTGCCATAGCAAATGTCCGGCTGCAGAATTTGAAAATCTTCCCCTTAAATAATAAACAAGGCTGTTCCAGTTAAAACAAACACCTAATAGATGTTATCCATACGCACACAGTTCCCAAGTGTTTTCTTGCGTTAAGCCAAGAGACACAACCTCATTCTTCTCTCATTTATGCCCATGTAAATCGGAAGGAATTTCACTGATAGCTCTCTCCAGTGATGCCAATGAAGTTGTCTGTGTAACACCAGAGAATCAAGCCTCTAAAATGTAAACAATTCTCAGGGATATTACATTCTCCCCCCAAACGACATGCTGTATTGCATTTGCTAATGGGCTCGCCAACTTCCTGACTGCTGATAGGCCAGAGCCATGCCTCTCATTCAGCATCTCTCCAATGTCCAATCTAAATACGGCCTCATTATGCAAACAGAAACAAGTCTGTTCAATAAAAATGCAAGGCACATCAGTATCCATATAGCGTGGTTGTTAGGCAACGAAATACCCTGTATCTCTCCTATGAAGCACAGAATAATTGGCCTTACCTTTTTCTGGAGCACACAATGGAAAATGAATATAAACATTCCCTGCAGAGAATTGAAAATGGTGAAGAGATACGCCATGACGACTGTGCTTTCATTAATATACATAAGTCCAAAGGCCCAAGTCAGTCCTAAGAGGCAGAGTAAGGCTATTGCACCTATAACCCATGACCTACGGAGAGAGAGAAAACAAATATAGAAAGGTATTAGTCTTTGATCCATAGAGGAATTAGCACACCTACTAATCACACTAATAATCTGCTATCGTTTTAGCAGAAGAGAAACAAAACATCCGAGAGCGCCACAAGGAGATTTTTTTTTTTATTTTGACAAAAGCACTTCTCAAATTCCATGCACTTTATTAATCCTTGAGCTTGAGGAGAGATACGAAAATGAAAATGTTATGGGGACAGACATGTCTCTGATCCAAAGCGGCTCTGCACCATAAACTCTTTTTAATGCAGCAGCAGTGAATATGTAAATGATATGTAGATGCAGTTTCTGCAAATGGCTGAGAAAAAAAACAACAACCACCCCGCTAAAACAAATCCCAGTAAAAATGTGATTCTTAGCCCCCACTGGTCTCGCTGGTGAAGTTGGATTAGCTTCTTTCTATGCTCCCAATTTAAAATGAAGGTACCTTTATTCCTGTATTTTCCCTTGTTTCCAATTTGTCGGCAAACTTTGCCATTGACGGTTAAAACAACTGCTTAAGGTAAGGGCCCTAACCATTGGATATCGAGGCTAGCGGGCATGTGTGACTTCTATTAACTCAGTGTAAGGCGGGCTAGGACCGCCAAGCAGGAAGGTCAAGGTTCTCTCATGAGACACTGAAACTTTAAATGCTAAGTCTCATGGAGGGTCGGTCGATACCCTTCTCCAGAGGGGTACCCAAAAGACAATGAGTGAAGAGCAGGGTAGGGAGCAGAAGGGGACCCAGTCCAGTCTGGTGCTCTGCTCCAGCACCCACTGAGTCATCACATCAACTTCCCTGGATGCCAGATTGGACCTTTACAAGCATGCTACTGTGTAGGCATCGTCTGACCTTCCGCCTAGTGGCCAAAGTGGGGAGTACAGAAGTAGCAGCCTCATTTGATGATCATTCTTAAGCCCAGAGGCCATGTTTCTCTGTAGCTTATGCTGGTGTAACTCCACTGAAGTGAGTGGGATTCAGCATGTAAACCTGGTTTTGGTATGAGCGGACTCCGAGCTGAAAGCCTGCCCAGACCTGCTCACGCGCCACTCACATCTCTCCTCTTTTTAACTCCTCTTGGAGAGAGGCTTTGGATCGATTTCCATGAAGTACAGAGCCCTACACCATCATGCTTCATCTCCTCTGGGCCCACTCTTTACATCGGTCCTGGCATGCGATAGCTTTGGGCTCTCTGCTGCACACAGAGGAAAGACTTCAAGGATCGAGGTCCGGAGAGTGGGGCGTGAGCTTGCAGTCTGCCTAATTTTCAACCTGCTGAGCGACTGCGAGCTTGCAAAAACTCGGCTAGACCTAGAATGGACTTAGGTTTGCATTGTCCTAAAGCAGTGGGTCTCAATTTTGTCCTGTGGCCCATCCTACACAACACCAACCTTTCAGCAGACCACCAGCCAACCACTCGTGATGACCAAAGGGGGGCAGGAGGAGGCTGGGTGCTGGAGGGGGCTGGGGGCGAAAGGGTCTGGCTGGGCAGTTGGGTGCAGGAGCGGCCTGGGGGTCGGGGTCTGGCCAGGTTTCCAGCCTAGGGGAGCAGTGGGGAAAGTCTCCAGGTGAGCAGTTTCCTGCGCTACCGTTGCCCCCCACCACCGGGAGGGGGAGTGGCAGTGTGCCGAGCCGATTCCTTCCCTTGTGAGCTGGATCCGGCTCGCAAGGCTCAGGGCTCCCCACGCAGCAGGAAGCCAATTTCACAGAGGCTGAAGCGCCAGTGAGGTGTGGGGGGAAATCACCAAGCCTGCAGCCCCAACCTGCAAGACAGGTGAGTGGGCCGTGGACCACACTTTGAGAACCACGGTGCTATGGGGAGGGGAAGAGGAGAGGAAGAGAGAACGAGCATCTGGGCGTGTGTTGCAAAGGAGCTGGTGAAATATCCTGTGAGAAAGCCAAGTCCTTTGCAGCTGGGAATGCACCAGCCTTCACTTTGAATCCCTGTGCTTTTATTAGGGTTTGTCCTAAACAGTAGCATGTTCTTGTTGCGTTAATGTTTCTTGTTGTTTTCCTTTAAATATTAGAAAGAAAATATAGTATTATTTTCCCACTGAAGTTCATAAAACGTGCTATTTATCCAAGAGCAGCTCCCTAAGGAAACTACTTAGATTTTTTTTTTAAATAAAAATACCCCTATTATGTATCTAGCAAGCTAGAACCAGCTCCTTTTGAAGTATTTCCAGTCAATTCTGTGAATAAATATTTAGCACTATGCTCATTAAAAATGCCGTCTCAAAATCCTTCTGAAAGGTAGCCCATTGATAAAATTTAAGAGCTTGGCTCTTTTAAATATTTTCTCCCACCAGCAAGAAGGCCACATTATGATCTTAATTGCAAAATCAAGTCATATTTACTAAAAATAACAGAGAAGCAAAGATTTGTCTCCAGTTCTTATATATTTTGGGGACTTAAAAATGACCCACATTGTAATTAAAAATTGTCTTATCTCCAGGTGCAGCCAGTTTTTTAGTCTGAGTGCCACAGACTACAA